GGCCCGCTCAATTTAACTAGGAAAAGCTCTTTTGTATTTTTTGTGTATTTTGATCCTGTCTGAAAAATGTCCTTTCTCTTCCCTTTCGTTCTATCTTTGCAACCCTTTGCACGGGTTATTTTGGCCAACTAATTTTGGATTAAAATGTGCAAACTCCTCCCTCTTTTTGCACATTAAAGCCCGAATATAAAAATGGAAAAGTGAGCAGTTTTGGCTCAGTTTTTGAACTTCCTTTACACATTCCTTCCAGACAGTTATTTCTTCTCCCCGTTAAAGTTAAAAGGTTTTTGAACTGTTTTATGAAATTTGAAATTCCTTCTCCCCGTTAAAAGAGATTTTTTCTGTTTTGTTTCTCCTTCTACCCGTTTTCTAAAGATAATTGATAGTATTTTGATTTATACAATATTTTGTTAATTCTGATTATTTGTGAGGAAATAAACTGATTAAAGTTATTTGTTTGATATATTGAGAATTAGAAATTTTATTTGAATGTTTTACTTAGGCTTTTCCCCTCCCTTTATTAAAATTCTTTTTAGAATTTTACAGCTCAGCCGGTGAAGAGCCGAGATCTTTTCCTTTCAACCCTTTTCAGAAATATATATTTTTTTCTTAAAATTTTTTGTTTTTCCGTTATTTTATAAAAAGTTATATTTTGTTTGTTTTTAAAATTCCGAATTATTTATTATTTTAAAAAGGAATGTCACTAACTTTTCGGAATCAATTGTCCCAGCTTTGCTCCATCACTAAAGAAATACTTCTCCCTAGCCCTTTCTCTGCTCTAATAGAAGATTATGATAATTTTAAAACCCAATCTCCCGAATCTACCCAGACATTAATTAATGAAATAGACCTTACCTCCCAAGAGATCACCAAAATCCTAAATGATTTTAAAATGGCCCACGATTCATGGCAAAAATTAAGAATTTCCATGTCAGAAAATGAAAGGGCAAATGATAGCCAAAATTTAGAGAAATTCCTCCAGGAAACAAATTATATAAAAATTATGTACGACCTCAAACGGTATCTACGAAAGCTTCGAAATTCCCGACATGAATTAGAAAGTAACCTACCCAAAATTAAACCCCAATTCGACCATTCCCATCTCCTTCCTGAACTTCCTCCTTTAGACCCTTCCCAGAATAGGCAATTCAATGAAAATACTCAAACCTCATTAAAATCAGTTTATGCAAATACTATGGATAATTCTTATCGAAACCGGCCACCTATACAATCTAATTTGTTTTTAAATCCCCCAGCTAAGGGACAATTTTCTCTTTCACCCGTTACGCAAGAAGAGGCGCCAACTCTGGCATATCCGACTAAATCCAAGCCAAACACATTTTATTCACCTCAACACCCAATAGTCCCTGAGAGCTATTTTAATGAAACCAATTGTTCAAATAGTAATAAAATGAATAAATTTAACCCACTTGCTATCCCTCCTGGTTTTTCCCCTCTAGAAGAAATAAATGTTGAAAAGAATCCTAACGATTTAAACAATCAGATGAGAGAAGAAATAATCCAATTACCAAAACTTATAAATGAAAAATATGAAGAAATACACATTAATTCGGAAGAATCAACCCTTTTTCTGATCAGTACCTCCCCTACAGATATTCCCCCATTATCTCCCCCCATTATCTGCTCCAATAATATACAACATTCGACTTCTACATCAGAAGATATATTGGAAAGAAAGGAAGTAATAGACAACATTATTAATTGTGAAGAAATTGTATTAACTACCCAACTTATAAATGTGAGTTTTGAAGAAGAAAAATCTGTTGGATTAAACAAACAACTTTTTAATACAATCAACGACACCAGAGCCCCAACCAAAAGTCCTGACTTGATTAGTACTCATAATTACTGTAATAATGTGACATTACCCATTGAAACCTTTACGAGAGATAATAACCCTTCCTACAAAGAAGTAACAGCAAAGAAAATTGTAAATTTGCGAAATTCCGACTTTAAAAGTATGACATCATTGTCTGAAGATTTTGTTAAAGATAATCCCTTTTTGTCCCGCAATTTTAAAAGTAAATTGTTAAAATTAAAAGCCCGAAAGCCACCAAGTATTTATGAAATTAAATCGCCACCCCTTGCCAATATTCCTCGGATATATATTATAGATTTTGGAAATTCCCCATTAGATGAAATCAAGTATCCCCTCATCGAACTGAAATACGAAACCGAGAATGACTCAGATAAGAATTCAATACTTCCCTGTCCCTTTTCTTTTGTATTAAATAAAAATGATTTTTCCGAAGATTATAACAGCTCTGTCCCTAGAATATTAAAGAGCCCTCCCTCAACAAATACCTTTACTCCTGAATTCTCCCCCCGTATCGAAATTGAATTTATGAATATAAACTATAAGCCCAATTCCCACCGATACCATCTTTTTAAATCATTTATATTCCTTTTGTTGAAAAATCCCATTAACTTTTGCTCTGGCTCAATATGCTTTGGACTACATGGTCTAATACAATATGCTATGGATTTTACTGAAACTTCCGTTCCTCCTCATCTAACTACAAGTGGCATCCAAAACGGTAATAATAGATTTAAATGTAAAAACTAATTCCAAAAATTTACTCTCCTTTCTCAACGATTCTTATCCCGACAATATGTATGGCATGGACTATGGAATGAATTTAAAGGGAAATAATAATCAATTGGAGAATATGTTGATAGCCCTCTACCAAGAAGCTGAATGTTTTGAAAGAAGGAAGATAAAGAAAAAAGATAGATGGATCAATGTCGTAAATTTATTAAATTTAAAACGTACCTCCCCCACCCTTCCTTGCAACTCACATAAACCCATATTCCTCAATCTGCCCTATGCCTTCATCTAAACTTTTTTTGGGTTTCTCCCGAATGTCAAATCTTTTAGATTTGAAAATATATTTTTTAATTATTAAACTTTGGCCGAAATTTTGTCCATATATTTTGTCCATATTTTTAAGCCCGCTCAAAAAAAAATGTTAATTATGGCGGGCCAAAAGGCCTTTTTTGATCCTTGCACATTAACCGTTTGGTCCCTGCTCTTTTTTCTCCCCATTCTTTTAAATCTCTGGCCCGCTCAATTTAACTAGGAAAAGCTCTTTTGTATTTTTTGTGTATTTTGATCCTGTCTGAAAAATGTCCTTTCTCTTCCCTTTCGTTCTATCTTTGCAACCCTTTGCACGGGTTATTTTGGCCAACTAATTTTGGATTAAAATGTGCAAACTCCTCCCTCTTTTTGCACATTAAAGCCCGAATATAAAAATGGAAAAGTGAGCAGTTTTGGCTCAGTTTTTGAACTTCCTTTACACATTCCTTCCAGCCAGTTATTTCTTCTCCCCGTTAAAGTTAAAAGGTTTTTGAACTGTTTTATGAAATTTGAAATTCCTTCTCCCCGTTAAAAGAGATTTTTTCTGTTTTGTTTCTCCTTCTACCCGTTTTCTAAAGATAATTGATAGTATTTTGATTTATACAATATTTTGTTAATTCTGATTATTTGTGAGGAAATAAACTGATTAAAGTTATTTGTTTGATATATTGAGAATTAGAAATTTTATTTGAATGTTTTACTTAGGCTTTTCCCCTCCCTTTATTAAAATTCTTTTTAGAATTTTACAACCCAAAACCCCCATTTTTCAATGAGGGCAATAACATGACCCGCAGCTTGCGTGTTCTATTACTGAGTAATTAACCAAAAGCTCAGGGTTACCCTTACCTCATAATAAGGGTTCTGCATTAGCCTACCGTTGCTGATGATTGGTTAGCCACAATACGGTCCCAGAGTTAGTAACTTTATCAAAATCCATCATAGCCAAAAGCAAATGAATGTGCGATAGCCCCGGCTTTAATTCTTCTATCAGGATTAAAGTTGCAAAGCTTGTCGGCCTCATATCTCACTCCCCATTCATTTTACTCTTAAAGCAGTGTGACAAACCGTGTGACATACAAACATAATTTCCTCCGATTTACTAATTATATAATTTTTATTTTCAGATATTTTTAACTAAAAATGAAATTACGACGAAAATTTTATGAAAATTCGGCTGCTTGTAGTAAATTGGTAAAAAAATTTCATTTTTTTCTAAAATCCTTTTTAAAGGTTGATCAAAAAGATCCAGTTTTCAAGGACATTGACGATTTTGTTAATCATTTTTGTGAAGACACTACAAAGGCTAGAAGCATTAGAAAGGTTTAAATTAATATTTAGGGGGGGATAGCAGTTAGTTATGACTAGTGTTCGGCACTACCTCGGTACTACCGAAAGTACCGAAAAAACCCATTTGCCTAACACTAGCTATGAGCGCCTCATAGCGATGGGGAAGTGATGTATCGTGGCTCCGATGAACTACTTCGTTTCTCAATTATTTCCCTAAAAGCCCGCAATTTTAGTTTATTTTCTCTCTCTCTCCAAACTCATTTAAGAAAGATTACAGTTAGGTTTCTGTTGTTTTCCATAGTATTGTTTTGTTCGGCGTCTTTACACAACGATAACTTGCGGACAAAACTTGCGGAGTTTTTGTAGACAATTTTTTTCAATTTTAGATTTTGGTAGCAGCAAATGGTATAGCTGCAGTTAAATTTATGGATTCTCTAAAAAAATTTTTGATGCAACATTTTGGGAATGAAAAACTCATTAATTTTGTCTGTTTAACTACAGAACAGGAAATTCCGTCAGGTGTGTTTGGAGGGTTAATATGTTTTTTATAGTTGTAGAGGGACGGTATTGGATTGCGGGAACTTTATTTTAAGAAATTTAACTTTTTTTTCTACCAACCGATTAAAAAATCCGCAAAAACTTCCTGCAAGATTTTTGGCTTTTTCTAGTTTATGTCTAATGGCATTCAACGTTAAATCAGCGGCTTAATCATCCAAATAAACTTATAAGTCCGATCAAACAGCCGCTATTAAATTCCAGAAATATATCTTATAATCTGACTAATTTTCCTTCCAAATTTACTCCAAAAATTCTTTTCTTCACAGAATATCTAAAGATGGCCGATCATATCATTTTTTCTACAACCGGTGCAAATACGAATAATTATGTAAATGTTCATGAAATTGTTGAGCAAGCAACACGAAATAATGTTGATGCAGTGTGTACAGTTTGCAGTTTTGCTAGTGAAAATCCTCAATTGCCTGAAGAATTGAACAAAAGAAATATTGTTTTTATTGGCCCTCCAAGTAAAGCATTGTTTGCTTTGAGTGATAAAATTGCTAGCACAATTATAGCTCAGGTTATTTGATTTTTTAATTTATTTGTGGAAAAAATTATTTGCGGATAATTTTAGTGCGAAGAAATTTTGCGAATGTTTCGAAAAAGTTAAAATACGCAAAAAAAGAAATGTCCGAAAAAATTAAATCACTTGAAAGGATTTCTGATTTCGACTTGCGGACACATCTTTGCGGACTTTTTTAAATAAAGGATCTTTATTGAACTGAAAGATTTATGTAAATGACGCTTTAAAAAATATCCTTAAAAGATTTTGGTGTCTTAAAAATTTTCTTTTAAAATTTTAGACAGTTAAAATCCCAACAATTGCTTGGTCTGGTAGTGGATTAATAATTGAATCAACAGGAGAAGGAAAAGAAAAAGGAGGGGGAGGAAACGAATCAGAAATTTCCAAAGAATTGTATTTAAAAGCTTGTATCTCGACAGCAGAAGAAGGCCTTTTATCAATGAAAGAAAAAAATATTACTTATCCAGTAATGATAAAATCATCAAAAGGATGTAATGGAAAAGGAACTAGAAAATGTATTAGTGATGAAGAATTTTGTTTAAATTTTACAAGTGTAAAGGAAGAGGTCCCAGAAGCTCCTATTTTTTTGATGAAGTAAGTTTTATATTGTGTTTAGGCAGATCTACGTTTGGCTCCCCACCTTTCCTCAAAGAGAATTCCTTTACTTGCATTTTTCGTTAGGAGTGGCACAGGGGTGTGCCGAAACAGATTTTAAAAAGCGAAAGACGAAAACGAAACGGCACACCCCTGGTGTGGCACGAGCTTATTCGTTTTTCCTTTACAGTATGCCCTCACGAAAGTAAAAGAAGTCTAGATACATATTATTTTCCAGAAAATTTTATTTTCTGGAAAAAGTTTTCCCGGTTAATTGTGAATATGTACTCTTATTTTTTCCGGATATTTAATAATAATTTATTTTCCGGAATTATAATATAAATCCGGAATAATCCAATTTTTCCGGAATAATCCGATTTTTATTAAAATAAATACATACTATCTCTCCCCTATTTTTTCTCTCTTTCCGAAGAAAATAAACTTTTTGTCCCTCCAGATTTATGGTTGATGCTAGAAATATAGAAGTTCAATTAATTGGCGACCATTACGGCAAAGTAATTCCAATATTTACTCGTGTTTGTTCAATAGAAGGGAGCTTTCAAAAAACAATTAAAGGAACTCCGGAGTGTATGGTGCCTCCAGAAATTAAATGTCAAATGCAAATGGATGCAGTTACATTAGCTAAAAAAATTGGTTATGTTAGTGCTGGGACAGTTGAGGTATTTTATTTTTTCAGCTTTTTGTGATTTTTTTGTGATTTTTGGATTAAATATTGTGTCACTTTTTTGCGTAATAGAAGAAGGATATGTAATAATACTCCATTACCTATCTGTTATAAAAATAAATTCCCGATTTCTCAAAAATGTTGGGAATATGGTTAGTAGTTTCAACCTGACCCGTAGATTTTCGATTTAGTTAATCAAAGAATTCGAGGGAAACTTACAACCCTATTGGAAATATTAATCCAAAAGTAGGGTACCTGGTCAAAAATTATTTAATTTTTAAATATTTTCAATTCTTTTAAGTATATGTATCTACCATCAGAACAAAAATATTATTTTTTGAAATTACAATTGGAACAAAATTTTACTGAAATGAATGCAAATATAAATATCCCTGCTATACAACTTCAAATTGCTATGGGTGTACCTTTACATAGAATAACTGAAACTCGTATTTTTTGTGGAATGGATGGGTATATTGTTTTTTATTTTTTAAATTAAAAAATTTTTGGCCAGAAAAATGGCAAGGGGGATTTCTGACTTCGCAATTCCAATTAATACAATTAAACTTTTTGGTACATTTCCGTTCTGTTACTAACCCTAAATTAATGCTCAAAATGATATATATAGGGTAATGAAAGGTGCTGAATGAAAGGCACCACTTTTTTTTGTAGATTTCTGTGGACCGAGATATGAGCTCAAAATGGCAAACCCCATAGTGAGTGAGCTCTTATTTGGGGCTAAAAATTAAATATGAGCTATTGAGTATCAAATAACTATTGCTTGTACGAACTTTTTTTACACGAAATATCGCCCCTATGGTCTTTGAATTTTCGGGGGCCTGTATCTCGATTCATTCAAATAGTATTTCGGTGATTTTGGATGTCTTTCGATTTAGCTCAATGAGCTCTTTCGAATGAGTTTTTAACTGCGTATTCCTCATTTTTTGTCTCCAAAAATGGTTTTTGTTTCGTTCGTTTTTGTTTTTTCATGTGGTTTTTGACCATTTCGAGCTCTATATCTCAGTCCACAGGCATCTACGGGAAAAAGAGTTGTACTGTTCAACTCAGCACCTTTTATTACCCTAACATTTTGAGCATTAATATAGGGGAGGTGGCAGAACGGAAATGGTACATTTCTTTTAAATTTTTTCTATTTATAGTGAATCTGTTAATTCAAAGAGGAATTTTTATTCAAAAAAAGCGACAAAAAACAAAATGAGATTTTTCGAGGGTTTCAAATTTTATTGGAAAGAAAAAAATATTTACCGATGTGAAAATATCCTAAAAAAAGCTATTCAATGTAATGGAAAATTAGTTGTTAAAAACAACAAAATACTTGATTCGACTCCGCATAATAATAAATGCATTAAGGTATTTATTATTAATTTTTGTTTAAAAAATAATCTCTTTTTTTTAGTATAAATTATCTAGTGTTGAGAAGCAGTTAAAAATTTCTTCAGAATTTAATGAACCTTCAACAAGTTCACAAGTTTTTAATCAAAATGTTGGCTCTATCTGAAAGGAGGACTTTTAAATCATATTTTTTAAAAATCAGAATTTATTTAAATCAGAATATTGTTAAAAATAGAATTTTTTTAAATCAAATTTATTTGAATCAGAATATTTGAAAAAAAAACAGAATTTAAAAGCAATTCTGAAAAATTTAGAAAATTTTTCTCTGGACCGTGTTTTGGTCGTTCCGTGATTTGGTCATTCCGTGTTTTGGTAAGACCTTGTTTTGTCTTGTCCGTGTTTTGGTATGGTCCGTATTTTGGTCGTTCCTTGTATTGTCTTTCCCATGTTCTGTCGTTTCATGTTCTGTCCGTTCCGTGTTTTGGCATTCCTTGTTCTGCCCCTCACCCTTTTTTCCTCCTTCCTTACACTAGCCAGTCTACCTTTCATTTTTCCTTAATATGAAAAAATGGTAGTACTTCCTTCCTTATTTTACTCAAACTCCTTGTGGCATATTCAAATGAAAGAGGTCATCTTTTATCATTTTTAATCGTGTCAGGCTAATTTACGGAAGACACAAGCACGGACCATACCGAAACACAAAACAGTCAAAACACCGTCTTACCAAATCAAGGAACGACCAAATACCAGAAAGACCATGACACGGAATGGCCAAAAACTGACCGAAGATCTGGTCCGTGATTTGGTAAGACGGTGAATTGTCCGATATGTTTTGTATTTCATCTTTTGTCTGTTCGTCCTGACACCGGCATTGAGAAATAATTCCTTTCATTGTTTATGTCTCTCACTTGAATAACCCACAGGGAAAATTAAAGGTGAGGTAAAGACTGACCATTTTTTCATATTAAGGATAAATGAAAGATAAACTGACTTGTGTAAGGAAGGAGAAAAATATATGATCCCGCACCTCCTTTGAGATAGTGCCAAAATGTTGATGTTATGCAAATGGATACTACTATTTCCATACAAGAACCATCCAAACCTGAAATTTCTTTTAAATTTTAATAAAAATAAAATTATCCAAATTATAGAAATTATATGTACAGAGTGCGCCATAAGTAACCGGACACTTTTGAATTCCTTATAACTTTTTTTGTTATCAATATTTTTAATTGATTTTAGGCTTATTTTTTAGCTCATTCAATTCTCTATTATGGCTAGTCAACGTGATTCTATAATCTCACTTTTTTGGCAAAAAAATTCTGTCCGCAAAATTTCACCTCATTTGGATGTCCCAAAAATCACTGTGCAATACACTTTCAAAAAATTCTGGTGAAAATTTTTTGGGAGAAAATTTTTTTGAAATTAATTTAATAATGATGGCACATCTAAGAACTTACAAAAAAATGGAAGACCTCGTTCCGTAATCACTTCCAAGAATATCAAAATGATCAAAATGTGGGTGCATCTCGATTATCGACCCTCCGTAAGAAAATTGGCTCGTGAAACCGGAATAAGTGAGATGACCGTCAGACAAATAGCCAAAAATGAACTTGGGTTAAACCCCTACAATATCCAAAAAGCACAACTTCTAACCGAAAAAACCAAAAAAGTTAGGCTTGAAAGATGCAAACTGCTCCTCCAGTGGCACGCATGTCCGGACATTTTTTTCACAGACGAAAAAATTTTTACAATAAAAGCCGTTCACAACCATCAAAATTAAAGAACCTGGACTACAGAATCCCCTCTTTCCGATAAGCTTATCACTCATTCCCAACATCCCCAATCTGTCATGGTTTGGGCTGGTATTTGGGCGTAAGGCATAAAACCCCTTATTTTCGTGGATCCTGGGGTAAAAGTCAACAAAGACTATTACTTGCAAGAAATCTTGCAGCGTGTTGTGAAGCCTTGGTTCAAGAGACATTTCGGTCGCAGGGTCTGGATTTTCGAACAGGACTCTGCTCCGGCACACAAGGCAAAAGAAGTTCAGGACTGGTGCATTGCCAATTTTCCTGGGTTCATCAGCGCTCAGGAATTACCGCCCCACTCCCCGGATTTAAACCCGATGGATTATTCTTTTGGTCCATTTTGGAGTTCAGACCCTGTGCTAAGACGCACAAAAGTTTGGAGTCTCTGCGCCATTCTCTCACCCGAGAGTGGGGCTTAATTACACTCAAGGAGGTGCGTGCTATTTGCGAAAATTTTTCCTCGCGCCTTCGCCTCTGTATCAAAGCCAAGGGTGCGTATTTCGAAACTTCTTGATTATTTTTGTTCCTTATTTAATTCTCTATCATCTGATTGTATTTTGATTTTATTTGATTGTGTTTTAATAAAGTTATGAGAGAAAACAGGTGTCCGGTTACTTATGGCGCACCCTGTATATAAATCTTTTAATATAAGTAAAACTTTTAATATCGATTCTTTAAAAAATCCTTAAAAAATTCCTTTTCTTTAAAAAAATTTTTTATATTGATTTTTTATTGTAGATTCATTTTCTTAAAAATTTTTTTTAAATTTTGATAGACAGAGTAAAGTTAGGTCAGAAAGAAAGAAAAATCAAGTAAAATTTTAAGAAATTGTCTAAAAATTTATAAATATACTTCCTATATTCGCATCATTTGAAACAAGCACTTTGGTTCTGTTTTTAACCTCTTTAAATGACAAAAACTTCTTTCAACTCCGGTTCAAATAAAGATTTGTTAAATTTTCAGTTTGTCGATCCTCTTTTAGTTTAACAGAAAGAAACTTTATTAATAGAGTTGTTAATTTATGATTTTTTTTACAAATTTTTCCTAAATTTTTGCAAAATCTACAGCAATTTATAAGTATTTTGGCAATTTTTTTCAAATTTTCCCCAAAAACTTCTAAATATGCATTAAATATGCACCAAAGTCACCAAGTCATGCGCCAGTCAGAAATATGCAAAAATATGCATTATATGCAAATAGAAATCCCTTCTAACATTTTTAACCAAGAGGAAACTGTTTTTTGTGTATTACACAAGCCATTTCTGCTAAAAAATATGCATTTGCATAACAATCACAACTCTACTTGTTAAATTTTAAGTTTGTTTTACTTGCTTGTTTGCCTAAAACAAGAAAGCATGTCTGCTAATAAATATGTTTACTCAAGAAAAAATTTTTTGCTCTCAATCTCTACACATTAAGAGGCTCTCATTTGCGACTATTTTATTTAAGAATACTCTCTCTTTAATTAGAATTCTCTTCTACTCTCTGTGTGAGTAGCTTTAAAAAATCCTTAAATAATTCCTTGCCTTTAAAAAATTTTTTATATTGATTTACTATTGTTTATTCATTTTCTTAAAAAAATTTTTAACTTTTTAAATTATTGGTAGATTTTCAATTGATTTTTCATAACATAATTATTGACAGAGTAAAGTACTTAAGAGAATAGAGAAAGAAAAATCGTGTAAAATACATTAAGAAATTTTTAAAAAAATTATAAATATGCCCATATATTCGCAACGTTTAAAACAAGCACAGCGGTTCTGTTTTTATTTTCTCCAAATGTTTGGATCATAATATATACTTAGGTTCGAATAGAGACCTGTTTAATTATCAGTTTGCCATCATTTACAAGTTTAGCAGAAAGAAACTTTATAAAATTTAAAACTGATTTACTTGAATGTTTTCCCTATAAAAAAGCATATTCTTGTAATAAATAGAAATTTACTCAAGAAAAAAATTTCTTACTCTCCTTCCCTACACATTAAGAAGCGTTCTCATTAGCGACTATTTTATTTAAGAATACTCTCTCTTTAAGCTGAATTCTCTGCCACTCTGTGTGAGTAGAGAGGAAGGGTATGGAGCGAGCGAGTTTTCCCATTTTGTAGTGTGACGTTTTGCGGTTGAAACATTATGAATTTTTAAATATTTTAATTGTTAAGATTTCAACCCGTTTCAATGAACTCCCAACCCTGAACGTGCTCAATTCCAGATGTTCAAGAACTTCAGAACATTAATACTCAATTTTCCAGATACATTTAATTTATGCTTTAACTTTAATTAATGTTCCAATCAATATTAATGTTAGTCGCAATTAGACCTTGTTCATTTTTCCTCCCTTTTTCTGTAAAAAGCTTTAAGAAAGAAAAGCGGTGTAATAGTAAGGATTTAATGTAAAAGGAACGCATACATCGCTCGGGGTGAAAGCAAGTGATTTTCTTTGCTTAAGACATATTTTGTTGTGAACCTGTATGTGGTCGAACATGCTGAAGAATCTAACTCAAATTCGACTACTAAAACAAACAGAGTTGAAATCCTACAAGTGGCGAGCACGGCAGGTTTGAAAAAATCAGCCTCGCATCCAAGCAGAACCATCTACCGAGACGCAAGAACCATCTACACGAGCAAGAATTTTTTCAAGTTTTTCCTCACAATCTTTTAATATCAAGTAGAACTTTTATTATTTAATTTATTGTCTTTAAAAAATCCTTAAATAATTCCTTGCCTTTAAAAACTTTTTATATTGATTTATTATAGTCAATTCATTTTCTTTAAAATTGTTTTTTGACTTTTTTATTAGTAATAGATTTTCAATTGATTTTTCATAACATAATTATTGATAAAGTAAGGTAAGAGAATAGAGAAAGAAAAATCGTTTAAAATAGATTAAGAAATTTAAAAAAAAGTATAAATATACCCATATATTCGCAACATTTAAAACAAGCACTGCGGTTCTGTTTTTTGTTTCTCCGAATGTTATCTGTAAAAAGTTTTAGAAAGAAAAGCGGTGTAATAGTAAGGATTTAATGTAAAAGGAACGCATACACCGCTCGGGGTGATAGCAAGTGGTTTTCTTTGCTTAAGACATATTTTGTTGTGAACCTGTAAGATGTCAAACATGCTGAAGAATCTAATTCAAATTCAACTACTTAATTTTTTAAAATTTTTTAAAAAAAAAGCGTTCCTTTTTTTTTAAAAAAAAAAAAGCGTTCCTTTTACATTAAACTACTAAAACAAACAAAGTTGAAATGCGACAAGTGGCGAGCACGGAGGTTTGAAATCAGCCTCGCAGCCAAGCAGAACCATCTACCCGAGACGCAAGGACCATCTACCCGAGAAAAATTTTTCAAGTATTTTCCTCACAATACAGTAAAATCTTTTAATATCAAGTAGAACTTTTATTATTTAATTTATTGTCTTTAAAAAATCCTTAAATAATTCCTTGCCTTAAAAACTTTTTATATTTATTTATTATAGTCGATTCATTTCTTTAAAAATTGTTTTTTGACTTTTTAAATTATTAATAGATTTTTAATTGATTTTTCATAACTAATTATTGACAGAGCAAAGTACATAAGAGAATAGAGAAAGAAAAATCGAGTAAAATACATTAAGAAATTTTAAAAAATTATAGATATACCCATATATTCGCAACGTTTAAAACAAGCACAGCGGTTCTGTTTTTAGTTTCTCCAAATATTCGGATCATATTATATACTCAGGTTCAAATAACGACCTATTTAATTTTCAGTTTTTCCATCATTTACAAGTTTAGCAGAAAGAAACTTTATTAAAAATTTAAGCATGTTTTACTTGCTTGTTCGCCTATAACAGGAAAGCACATGTCTGCTAATAAATAGAAATTTACTCAAGAAAAAAATTTCTTACTCTCCTTCCCTACACATTAAGAATCGTTCTCATTAGCGGCTATTTTATTTAAGAATACTCTCTCTTTAATTCGAATTTTCTGCCACTCTCTGTGTGAGTAGAGAGGAAGGGTATGGATCGAGCGAGTTTTCCCATTTTGTAGTGTGACGTTTTGCGGTTGAAACATTATGGGTGCCCATTTTTTGGGGCGCCCAATAAACAAAGAAAATTTTTATAAATTTGTAATTTTTTCAAGTTTTTTCCTAACAATACAGAAAAATCTTGTAATATCAAGTATAACTTTTATTATCCATCTCATTATCTTTAAAAAACCTTAAATAACTCCTTACCTTTAAAAAACTTTTTATATTAATTTATTATTGTCGATTCATTCTCTTAAAAATTTTTTACTTTTTAAATTATTTATAGATTTTCAATTGATTTTTCATAACTAATTATTGACAGAGTAAAGTACATAAGAGAATAGAGAAAGAAAAATCGAGTAAAATACATTAAGAAATTTTAAAAAATTATAGATATACCCATATATTCGCAACGTTTAAAACAAGCACAGCGGTTCTGTTTTTAGTTTCTCCAAATATTCGGATCATATTATATACTCAGGTTCAAATAACGACCTATTTAATTTTCAGTTTTTCCATCATTTACAAGTTTAGCAGAAAGAAACTTTATTAAAAATTTAAGCATGTTTTACTTGCTTGTTCGCCTATAACAGGAAAGCACATGTCTGCTAATAAATAGAAATTTACTCAAGAAAAAAATTTCTTACTCTCCTTCCCTACACATTAAGAAGCGTTCTCATTAGCGGCTATTTTATTTAAGAATACTCTCTCTTTAATTCGAATTCTCTGCCTCTCTCTGTATGAGTAGCGAGGGTGCGGGTGAAGCGAGCGATTTAAATATCGTAAAATTGAATGAAGACGTTCATTTATGTATAAAAATTTTTTTAAGGAGTAAAAATTTTAGAATAAATTTTTTAAATGTTTAGCACTATTTCTAAATGTTGTAATGAACAGTTTAATAAATAGATATACAACTCAGTTCCTGTTATAAAGACATAATGGGGATTAATCCTGCGGGATCCCATCCAGTACTTTATTGATTTGCGGGGTTTTCCTTATGCTGTTTTTATGTTGAATAAATTATTTTATTTGAAGGTTTTTGTTAAATTGGGCATAGGTTTTAATTTGATTTTGTCTACTAGCAACTTTACCCATCCATTCTATTAACTTTAAGATTTGAAAAAAATTTAGTCGTGATTGTTTTAGTTTTTCATAATATATGTAGTTATTTAAAAAAAGATAAGGGCAAAGAAAGGATAGAGAAAAAATTTTACTTTGAATTACCGTATTTACTCTAATTATCCCCCAGTCCTTTATTAATTCCCAAGTCTCTATTAATTCCCCACTCTAGAGATGGGTTGAAAAATAATCCCCCTTCTTTCTACCCCACTCTATTAATTCCCCAGTCTCTATTAATTCCCCACTCTAGAAATGGGTTGAAACAATAATCCCCCTGGGGGATTACTAGAGAAAATACGGTATACAGGGTGTTTCAGATAAAAAGCACTATTTGAAAAATAATAACTTTTTACTGCGTTGACAGATTTTAATGATATTTGGTATTTTGTATCTATAATTTATGGCATTTTATTGACATAAAAATTATCTCTGAATTTGAACCCTAACCCTGGATTTCAAATTCGTCTCTACCGTTCTCTTTTCTCTCTCCTTTCATTGCGTGCGTTCTTACTTCATTTTTTTATCTGAGTGGCGATGACACACTAGAATAGAAAAAATTTAAAATATTGTAATGTGATTCTAGTTTTCTATCGCCACTCGAATCAAATAAAAGGAAGTAATAAAGCACACGCAAGCATACAATAAAAAGGAGAAAAGAGAACGGTAGAGTACGGAATTATCTCGATAGGGTTCGAATTTAGACATAGTTTTTATGTCAGAAAATGCCATAGATTATATCTACAAAATACCAGATATCAAAATATCATTAAAATCTGTCAACGCAGTAAAAAGTTATTGATATTTCAAATTGTGCTTTTTATCTGAAACACCCTGTTTATATACCCGTTTTAGTCTTACTTTAGTTAGAAAGAAAAATTAAAAAAGGGCGAAATAGTGTTTTACAAAATATTAGAGAAATTTATATAGAATGTAATTTGGCCTAAATCTTTGTCCAAATTGAATTTGGCCGGCCGAATTCAATTTGGACAAGAATGTTTTTTGACGGTGAAATATAAATATCTTCAACTTTGAATTAAGATTAAAAATGTTAAAACTAATTGTTTTAAACTGCATTTTGTTAATTTATTGTATTAATCTTGTTGTTGGTATTGAAGAAGAAACCAACGAAGAAAATGAAATGTTTTTCGATGCAAAGGAAGAATTCGACATTTCTTCCGAAATAGATGAAATTGATCAACATGTAAAGAATCAAATTGCTTGGATTTTGAAAAATGGTAGTAAATGTGATGAACAAGAGAAATGTGTAAATATGTTTTTGAATGATATGGCGATGTTTAATGATCAAGCCCGATTTGGAGGAATTTCTGCCTTCTGTGACGACAATTCGATTATTGGCAAGAAAGGCAAAATTGGGAATCCAATTAGGGTAACATTTTGTATTTCTCTTATAAATATAAAAAATAATGAGGTTTAATAAATGAGCCCGCAAACTTCGGGTCCGCAAAGTTTCTGCAAATTAAAATCCGCAAAGTTCCGCGCACCACTTTAAAAAATTTCAAATAATTCTTAGGAAATGCTCAACGGCAAACATAAAAATGATGACGCAAAAATTCGTTTGCATCTTTATACCGAATGTGTTGATAATTTCTTCAATAAAGATAGAGGACTTTTTAGAATGAAAAATTCAAAGCCTTTAGAATTCTCAGAGATTAACAAAAAACTTCTTCGAGCATTTTTGCTTACCAAACCTTTGTATATTTCAACTATAATGTACGAATCAATTCAAAATAAAGACACAAATGCTTTATTAGAAATTGTTTCCACTCAAAAATTAGAGGATTTAAATGTGGCATTGAAGATAATGATAGCTCTTCATTCAGATTTAAAATTGGTTAAAGTGTATAATGATAAAGTAGATTTTAATGAGTTTTCAAAGGTTCAAAATGTGTTCGATGGTGAGAAACTTGAAAAATTTTTAAATTGGCGTTTTGACCCAAATTGCAATGAAAAGCCAATAGAAGATAAGGTAAATTCTTGAAAATTTTTTCTAATCCTTAGCATAACTTTAAAATATTTTAAAAAATTTAGACTGGATGGTTAAACAGAACAATAAAAAAGATACAGAATTATATCAAAAATCCTGAACAAAAGTGCCTAGAAAATCCTACTATTGGCCAATACATGGAAATATTGGAAAGTAAAAACGAACTGAACAATTTTTTACTTTTTTGTTTCAATTGTACAATGAAACCCTTTGCAAAAACAAATCCAACTAGAAACTCCTTTCATATGGACACTTTGATTCGCTCAATTATACTTTCATATAGCGTTGACGGAGAAAGCATTACTCATCTAATGAAAGTAAATGAAAAGAAAGAGCTTGAGGACAAAATTAACAATGCTTATTTTAATCTTCAAGGATGGAATGACAAAGTTTTCAAATACGCGTGCAAACGCTTTTTAAATCTTGGTAAGTTAGTATATTTCTCCCGATGGGTTATATATATAGGTTTTTTAAACATTTTTAAGTTATTCATCCCCTTTAAATTTGCAATTTACAGAAAATGCTTCCCAAGTCATGTCCTACAATCGCTTCATTGAACATTATGGAGAAATCATTGTAGCATTCACAAATGCTTTAACAAATGTTGAAAATCTTGTTAACATACAAATTTACAACAAAAAAGTCAAAATTACAAATGATAAACTCTTTAATGAATTGAATAAAGTGTCAGGCTCTTCAATCCTCAAAGAACTTATTGAGGGGATAAATGATGAAATTTTGGTGCAGTCGGGTAAATTAAATACTGGAATGATAAAAAACCACAATGAAAAGGATTCGATTTTATTCAGCTCGAATCATCTGCGTGCAAAATATTTAGCATTGGCTATAGCATTGAATCACGTTGTGGAAAAAGTGGATGATAACGAGAGTAAAGTTAAAGTCATTATTTTAAATATATCTAACGAGCAATTAGACAAGATTAAATCAGTTAATTTTGATTCGGTTAAAAAATTATTGGATGAAATTTCCATAAAATTGTCTAAACAACACAGTGATTTTGTTAATGATTTGATAAATGAAATGATAAATTTGATTAATGATGTTGATTTTAAATGTGAGTAACTTATATTGATTTTTAACTTATATAACTATTGATAATGGGCCCACGCGTTGTTCCAAGTTCCTTCGGCACAAAAAGGTAGTATTTATTTTGGCACGTGAAGTAGACTGCTGGACAGTCGACTATTTTCACACTTCGGTCGATTATTTTGAACTGTGAACAGTCGACTGTGTTGTTGTAGGGCGGTTAAAATAGGAGCACGGTCATTTAATCGACTGTGAATAGTCGATTGTTGTTCTGTTGGAAGTGCGATAGTCGATTAGTTAATCTGATGTTGTTTGCTGAAATGCACTATTTAAATAGTCGACCGTTGTCACCAAAGCACTCGCAAGGCAATAATATTCAGAGAAGGGTGATTAAGGTAGTTGACCGAGGGCGATTAAACTAAAAGAAGAAAAGCCACTAAAAATTATTATTTTTTCAGTAAGTGGAGATTCTAGTAACAATTTCTCGCCAGAATTTGTTGACTTTCGAGCAATACAACTTTTTGATAATGGGGAGAACAAAAGTTTTGTGGATCGTTTAATTGGGAAAATATTCAATTATTTGAAGAGACCAATTGATTGGATAAAAAATAAAGCTTCAAACAGCAAAAACATTGTGTTCCTGAATGAGTTTAAACAAATTAATTCGTTCATGGTTGTTATTGAAAATTTTATAACGAAGAAAACGCCTATAGAAATGCTCTATTTTAAGCTCAATGAAATCAGAAAACACGGAGAAAAATTGTCGGAGAAATTACAAAATTTTCTGAGCAATGTTCTCAAGAATTGGAATGATAAAATCAAATTAAAAGAAGAGTTTTTAGAATTATTTCATTATATGACTGACTTTCGCAATACTTTAAAAATTGATGAAAACGAGGAAAATATTTTAACAAAAGAAGAGAGTGAAAGAGAAACAGACAATTTTAACAAAACGACAATGAATGAACTTAAAAAATCTTTTAAAGAAATTGTTAAATATTTAAAGGAATTTACGAGTAATCTTAAAAACAAATTGAACGAAAATCCAGTTAAAAATTATAAGAAAAATGAGGGGACAATTTTGGCAAAGTATTTTGATAGAGAAATTAACGTCAGTTTAAAGTTATTTAAAATAAATAATCAAAGCATCACTTAGTAAAAACAAGCAAAGTTATTTTAAGACTTTTTAAGAATGAGATTAAGATATTAAATATTTTAATTAGATATACTGAGCAAAAAGTGAAGAAATTGGAAAAATTCCAAAGTCCGACTTTTATACATTATTTAATGCAGGGCTTCGATCTTGTATCTAAAATCCGAAAACTACAAGAAAATAAAATAAATCCTCATAATTTTAAAAAGAACATAAAATAATGAAAAATGCGCAGAAATCGAAGCCCTGATTTAATGTCTAAATTTCAGAATGCTTTCAACCCTAATTCATTGACTTTGATTCGAAAGAAACGAGCCTACTGCCATGGTAATTGTATGCATTTAAGTCCCATGGCAAATGCGATGATTTTACATGCTTTTATTAGCCTTGCCGGAGTTGTTGGGTTTTCGTGGATTGCAATTTAGGGGATTTAAATCTCCTAAAAATCAGATTAGGAGATTTAAAATGTCGAACCCCCGAAATTAAAGATTTTCAAAATTTCTTTCGTCGAAGACAAAATTCACCTTCAATTCCTCAACAACAAAGTTTTCCTCTTGAACCGTTCGAACGTCCCCGTCGATATCACGAAGAAGATCAATATAGTGAACACAATATTGCTATTGCTGAAGGAATGCCTCGAGATCAGTTTTATGCACAACACCGTTTCCGCCGAAATATTAAAGAAATGAATAAAGGTTATTTTTTAAAAATTGGGGGGAGGAGGAGAGGAGAAATTTCTTTAAGGGGAAATTTTGGGGAATAAAAAATTTGGTTGAAACATTGGGACCAAAGAAGCAAGAAAACTTTATTTTTTGGAAAGTTTTAGTTCACAGAAACAACTGAGCCGAGATACGGATAAAATTAAATAACCATGGGGGACCTATTTAAGTCAATTTTCAGCTTTATAATAACGAAAATCTCCTTATTAGCGTAAAAAATTTATACAACCAACACAGTTTTTTGTTAAATTTCAACTTTTTCTTGATTTTTGCACTAAATAACCCATAATTGACATGTTTCAATATTTATCTAAGTTTCGGCATTTTTTGCCGATATTTAGCCAATTTATTTCAACATTTTATATCCATATTTTGCGATATTATTTCGATAATAATCCGGGCCCTGTTGATCAAAATCAAGGAACTCCACAAAATTACTATGAACTTACATATAGTAAAGCAGCTGGGCTATAGCTATTTCTCTCCTTTAGCTAGTGCAAAAGGTTAGCCGCTACTGGGAGCGAACCAGCATCTTCAGTAGACCGGACTGATGTGTTAGCCATTACACCACACCGCCTACTGCATAGCCTTAGGAATTAAATATCTACATATATACTTTACAATATATTTTTTAGGAAAGATGTAATATTTAAAAAACATTTCTAATTTTCAGAATTAGTTCATTGAAATACCCCGAAACTTTTTCGAGGCGGGGTTCGGGTCGGGGAGAATTGTAAAAAAATCGTTCGGGAACTGGGTCGAGGTGCAACTCTCTGTTTAACGTGTCCTATACAGAGTCAAAAAACTAAAAAGCTAAAACTGTTTTAGGTATTTTCTGCAATAGCGGAGCATGTAAAGGCACAATAAGCTTCCACAAGGATGACAAGAAGAACAATTTGGAATTTTTTAAAAAACAAGGATGTCTTAACGATATTTTAAATAACGTAACTGGAAGTCAAAAAAATATTCGAAAAAAACGTTATGTTGAATGGTATTGTGGAAATTGGATTGTTTGGATTATTATCCTGACTCTTGTTGCTGTTTATGCCACAGGATTTTATCTTATTGCAGCGCATGTTCGTTGAACACGATTAGGAAGGACTTGGGAAGGAGATAAATTTTGATGATTTTTTATTTAAAAGAAGGGAAAAATGAGAAAAAACAAAAAAAAAGAAAAAAATGCAAAAAACAAAAAAAAAACAAAAACAAATTTTTAAAACCAAAAAATATGTATAAAACCTTGTATCACAAAATGAAAAATTCTAAAACTCAAAGAGTTGATATAAAGATAAAATCACAAAAAAATCAAAAAATTCACAAAAAAACAAAAGAAAATCATAACCATAAAAACAGTTAAATTTTTTGAAAAATTAAAAAAAGCTCGAATTTAGATCACTTATATCAAAATTCTTATTTAAAATTATTTTCATGTAATCTTTTGGTGTAGCTAAATTCGAGCTACAACCATATTTATTATGTATGTAGATATTTTTATACACAATTATTTATCGTGATTTTTACCAAGATTTTTCACACATTTATTGGTTCTTGTCCAGTCTTATTTTACATTTTAAATGAGGAGGTTTTCATTATCGCTATGAAAATCCAATGCAAATTTCTAATCCCGACAAAATTTACAAGACAAAAAACTGGACAAGGAGCCATATATATCTTTACATAAAAATTTATCTTTAAAAGATGTTTTTTTTAATTTTGGGATATTTAAATTTTTCATATTTAATTTTTTAAATTTCATACATTTAATCTTCATATAAAAATTTTTTTGGGTTTTTGAGTTTGCCTAAAAAATCTAGATGAAACGGGTTATTAAGCACTAATTGTTTTATATTAGAGTGTACACCGTTATGCTTAAATAATTAACCTTTCTCAAATAATAGCCCCCTCTCAAATAATTACCCCAACTAGTCATAATTACCCCAACTAATCATAAACAAATTATAAAAATATTTTTTTAATCATTAAAAATTTTAATGATGGAAAATTTAATGGATAAATATAAAAATTAAATCGAAAGATTAATAGGATTTTGGGAAAATATCGAGGAATTTGTGCGGATTAAGAGATTTATCAAGGTATTTCCTTGAAATAAACCTTATTCCAATTATATCTCTCCAAAATCTCTGATATTCCTTAGATCCCTTCTTAAGCTAATTTGTGATAGTCTTTTATCTTTATATATATCCCAAGAAGGAAGTGCTTTTATAGTATAACGTTATGTTATATTATACGGTAATGTTTTAAGTGAATTTTGGATTTCCATTGGAGTGTAAAATCCTAAACCCTGTTTCCAGACCCGGAAAAAATATTTTGCCTGCACTAATAAAAATTAATTACTATACTTACTTAGTAAACAATAAAAATGATGAGATGCTTATTTCAGAAGGTATAATATGTAAGTGTGTGATTCTATAATATTAGAGGGTGTGAATTTTATTTTTCAATCCTCTCGTAGGATGTGGTTATATTTGAAGGTGTGCTTCTATTCGAATTTGTGGTTAATATTAATAATTTTGACCTCCATGAATTAGATGATTTTTCGATATTATATTGTAATCTGACAACCCCCGAAATTTTTTAAAGCAAAAAACGGTGCCTTACCCTTAACAATTATGGATAATAGTAATTGTTTGTTTTATGTTTAGTTATTTTTAAATGTAATTTATTTTTATTGTAAATGAATTTAAGACTTTCATGGCAAATTTTATTCATCAATTTAATTTGAATTAATTTACTTTCCAAAAATATTCTTTATAATTATATCCATCTTTTTGTCTGCCAAATTCTTTCTTTTTAAAAATTAACTATAATATTAGAAATAGATAAAATTGTTGTGCATCTCCCCAGTCTTCGTCAAAATAATAATCTATAAGCGAATACGATTTAATAATTCCAGTTTCTTGTGAATATATGCCAAAATTAATGTAACAAAACATGCCAAAGTAAGCTTCGTCTCGTAAAAAAAGGTAATTATGAAATCCTCTATCTATAGTTAATTCAACTTCAGATTCTATATCATTTGCAATCACCGTAAGATTGGCCGTTTTTCTACTCTGCCTAAAATAATAAAAAAATAATGTTTAAATTTTAACTTTATTCAGATCTTATAGGCATCAACTTTTCCAAGACCGAAGTGTGATTAATAATTTAAATATTAGAACGACCAACCTATCAATATCAAATAATTAGGGTTGAGGTTTTCGAGTTAGAGGTTAGACAGATCTGCTATCCGAATCGAAAATTTCGGCTCCAGGTCAGGGATGGACGCAATTGAAAGACACGTAATTTTAAAATCAAGCAAACGCAATACGCAATCCGCACTTTTGAATATTAGGGTAATCTGGGGATATCTCCAAATCACCAGATATTTCTCCAAATCTCAAACCCCCAAATAGGGTTGCCAAAATGGACCGACTCGGACCGAAAGATCGAGTCATGCTTCGATGTTTGGCCCGAAAAAGTCTCGTACCGGCCCGACTCGATAAAGTTGGGCCCGAAAAAGACTCGTAACGGCCCGACTCGATAAAGTTAGGCCCGAAAGTGACTCGTACCGGCCCGACTCGATAAAAACAGGCCCGAAAAAATTGTCTCGGAAAAAGTCGGCCCGACTCGAACAAGACTTGATAATATTTTTACCAGATTTGTGGACAAAATGGGAGAAATCTGGCTCCTTGGCCTTCCAAAATTCAAAAAATTTTCGCCTGCGGCGCTGAAAAAAGAAGAAATTTGGTCCTTAGCCTTCCGAATATCTCAAAATTTTTGCCTGCGGCGCTGAAATGAAGGATTTTTAGCTCCATACTTTGCTTCACATCTCGAACTTACTGGCTTTAATCGATAAGCTGGATTACTGGGATTTATAGGCTATATTCCGCGGGATCCCATCATCATTTGAACTTTCGAAACTCAATCAGTTTTGAGAGTCCACAATTTTCCGCAGTCCGCAATTTTAACTTTAAAATACGCAGTCGTAATCTTCAGTCCACAAGTCAAAAACACACAATCTTACGCAATCCGCAGTCCACCATCCGGGATATAAGGTGTAATCTGGGAATATAAGGCGGTTTGAGTGATTAAGTCAAGGGCGTATCCAGGGGTCCAAAATTCTCAAAGTTTTCGCCTGCGGCGCTAAAAATAGAAGAAATCTGGTTTCCTGACTTTCCAGTAAGCCCTTATCTAAATACGAATAGTTCGATCATGGTACACTGGGATTTTATTAAGGTTTATCTCCTTTAATAAAACCAAATCTAGCAATATCTCACACCAATCCTCCGATAATTTAAATCACCTTAATCCCTCAAATCCACTGATATCCATTTCAATTCTCTTCAGCCCTTCCTTTACCTTCCAGATCCATCGATATACCTTTTAATTCACAGATATCCCTCCAAATCCACTAATTATTTTTAAATAAATCTTTTAAAAAAAACTCGAAAATGTCTCGATGCCCGACTCGATAAAGTCAGGCCCGAAAGTGACTCGTTCCGGCCCGACTCGATAAAGTCAGGCCCGAAAGTGACTCGTTCCGGCCCGACTCGATAAAGTAAGGCCCGAAAAAGACTCGTACCGGCCCGACTCGATAAAAACAAGCCCGAAAAAAAATGCCTCGACCGTCGGCCCGACTCGAAAACGGCAACCCTACCCCCAAACTCAACGGAAAACGGGGTTTACGCGCCGCAGGAAAAAGTTTGAAAAATTTGGAAGGACAAGTTACCAGATTTCTTCCTTTTTTGCGCCGCAGGCGAAAAAAAACTCCAACTTTTATATTTGACTCACATTCATATTTTAATTTGTCTGTGTTCGAACCAGGAAGTTTAAAAACAAGAATACATGTTTTTAAACTTTGAGTTTGATTTTAACTTGTAAATTAATTTTTAAATATTATTAACCGCGAAAAAACTGTAAAATATATTAATTAGTCATGAATATTCAAAAATTTTCACTGCGGCGAGAAAAAAATGAGATCTGTTTTCCCGCCAAATTTTGATTTTTTTTTGGTTATTTCACAAGTACGAAGAAGTACGAGTATGAATTACGAGATGGGGTAGTACGAGGTTCAAGACCAAAATTAGTGGTAGTAAGAGCAATTCTAAAATTTCCGAGCAATGGTTTTATGGTTATTGCTCGGTCATTGAAAATAGCTGCTCGTTCAATAATAGAATTGGGTATTGGTTTAAATGGCTTCTGCAGTTCTAATAATTTATGTCCAAATTTAATTTATATATTAATTTAATAGTTTTTTAAATTTACTTTATTATATCAACTATTCTTGTCTCCCATTCAGTTGTAAAATTTTGACCATATATTGCTGCGCTCTCGGGTCTAACTACTTGGCGTATTGTTGTTATTTTTATATTTGAATGAATAAGGACATAACATTTTGATTCTCTCGTACATCTAGGGCCAGAATACGTTGTATAGTCATCTTTTTTATTGGTAATTATAACGGTATAGTGCCTCCTAATTATGATTTATTTTAAAATTAATTTAAATATTAATGATAAAGATGTTTTTTTAATTATTACAAGCTAAACTAAAAATTTGAAGTAACTTTATACAGAATTATTGAATAATCTTTAAATGTCGCATTTTCTTTTCTTTTGCTTTTTGATAAGCTTTAACTCTTTTATGATTGATCAGATTAGTATGAACATATCAGGGGTGTCGTTCGTGCCACAAAATACGAGAAACGAGATTCACGAGATTCGAGATTCTCATAAAAATATGATATAAAACGAGATGCGAGATCTCTCTAAAAATACGAGATTTTCACGAGATACGAGATATTAAGGGAGCCAAGTTTTTCTGAGCCGCTCCATGATTTATCATATCCTCTTAAGCACTAGATATCCTACTTAATACTCACAAACCATTAATATCTCTCGAAATTGATGGATTCCCAGATATTAGTGTTTAATCGGAACCGAAATTTTGACCGGACCGGATCGAATTTTAGTTCCGGATTCCGGAACCGGAACTTTTTAAGTTCCGGCCCGGACCTTTTAAAAAATTTTGCCAGCAAATTTAAAAAAATTTTTATTTTAAGTACGGTTTTCGGTTTCGCCAAATTCTTTGCTTAACCGAAATCGAGCCGATACCGCATCGAAACTTTTGGATTGTCGGATATAAGTGTTTCATATCGGAACGTGCCAGGTGAGTGCTGCCAACTGAGTGCCGCCAACTGAGAGCGGGCAACTGAGAGCCGAGCCAACTGAGAACGAGCCAACTGAGTGCGGCCAACTGAGAGCTTCTTATGAGAGGACCAACTGATCCCGTAAAAATCATTACCGGAGTCCGGCAGAATTGACCGGGATTCAAGACCGAATCCGGGATTTTTTCCATTTTTCAAGAAACATTTTTTTCATTTTTATTGTTAAAATGTCGTAAGAACTGAGGGATTCGAAGTGATTAAAACGGTATTAAGAGTTGGATGAAGCGGGTTGAATTGGGATACCGATGTTATCCGGTAATCTGGACAAATATCGGTGATGCCTGATTCCGGATTTGGAAATGGAGCCGGACCTGATCCGGCCGGACTTTTCTAGATTAATCCGGTCCGAAAAAATCCAGATGGACCCTTTTATTAGTGTCTCTCAGTTGGCCGCCCTCAGTTCTCAGTTGGCCGCCCTCAGTTGGCCGCTCGGCTCTCAGTTGCCCGCTCTCAGTTGGCGGCTCTCACTTGACACCGACCGTTAGATATCGGCCGATAAAAGTTTCTGAATTGTAAGGGGGATTTAAGGTGTATTAGTGAAATAAGGAGGGATATACGTTCGCGAAGGTGTTTTTGTAGAACCAGATTGCTTGCGCTGCAGGCGAACTTTTTGAAAATTTCGGAAGGCCGTAGAAAATTCAATCTTTATTAGTCAAACGAGAAATTTTAATAAATAGGTCCAATGTTTATTTAAATTCGGCGGTATCTATTAATTCGGCGGTATCTATTAATTCGGCGGTATCTATTTAATATCTATTAAATTCCTTCATGTCCATCTATATTTCCCGCTTAACCAACTTTATCCCTCTTCCATTTTCAGCGTCGTAGACGAAAATTTGAGAATTTTGGAAGGCAGTTGGCCAAAAACGAGATTTCACGAGATACGAAACACGAGATACGAGACGAGCGACACCCCTGGAACATACATATATTTTTCAAAAGAATCTTAGCCATCTGTTTTTCAACTCATCGATCAAATCAGGTTTACCCATTTAAAAGTACAATTTTATAAGTGCATCGAGTGCTTTTGAATGACACAATTTCATACGAATTTAATCCTCATAAAAATGACTGACATAGCTTATCAAATCCGAAATAAGGATGTTGGAAACTAATCTGATCAATCATAAGAGTTATAGCCGATCAAATTCAAAATAAAGGAAAAGAAAAAACTTAAAGTACCAAATTTATTATTAGGATTTTTCAACCTACATGTTTAAACCTCTCTCCGCAAGTTCAATTCCGAAAATTTCAGCTGTGGTATTGTAAGTGTTAACAGCAAAAGTTTCATTACCAATGGCCATTTTGGCATACTTTATTTGTGTTTCCGGGAATTGAATGTCCTTTAATTAAATTTTAAATTAATTTTAATATGATTGTTCATATAAATTCAGATAAAGTATATATAATTCAGATAAGGTTGGGGGCCGGGTTAACCACTTTGTCATGAAAAAGACACGGTGCCCAGTTCGAAAAATGAGACGCAAGAAAGACTCCTGGTCAGGCACGAAAAAATGAAGCCCGAAAAAGACTCGAATGGCTATTTCGATAAAAACGATGCCCGGTAAGGGACACGCCCGAAATGTCGCGCGGCCATAATGTCGCCGAGCCATAACTTGCTTCAAGATTTCCGAATCTTTCCAAATTTAGTATTAAACGATTCTTCTCATCGAGCTAAAGAGATTGGTACCAAAATTGATAAGAGCCAGAAATTTTTTAGCAAGTTATGGCCGCGCGACATTTCGGGCTGTACCCGCCCGGTAAAGCTCGAAAAGCTCTTTTTTCTGGCCCGATAAAGATGAGGCCCAAGAAAATGAGTCGAACGTCGGCCCGGTACGAAAAATCCAACTCTAAATTCAGATTAAATATACATAAATGTGTTAGTTTTTTTAGTTTTATAATACATTTTTATGAAAATTTATGATTTCGAGATTTATGATTTTCAAAAGTTTTTAGCTCTACCAATCTTCTCCAGGACCACATTTCAGCATAATTTAAGATACGTTCCGAAATTTCCAGAATTCTATCAAGATATTCTTTAATTTTCGATTCATCACCATTAGAGGCTACATTAGCGCATATGGTAGCTAATTTGCCCTAAAATTAATCGTTATTTAAATTTTTCGTATATAAATTACAAGTTGCATGACATCAGAAATAATTCTATTCACTATCGATTCTAATGCTACTGATTTAAATTCATATGATCTCAATGCTGATTCCAATAAGCAACTGAATGATTATTAAAATAACTTATTATATTACTTATATATTCCCAAAAAAAATTTTATCGCCGCAGGCGAAGAGAGACCAAAGGTTGGCTTATGTATCATCAAAATTCTCAAAATTTTCGCCTGGGCGCAAAAAATTGAAAAAATTTGGCTTCTTGGTCTTTAAAATTTCGCCTGCGGCGCTGAAAATTTGAGGCTTTAATGGAAAAAAATTCAAATTTGCCTCAATTTGCCTCAAATTTGCCTCTTTCTATATCACCAAAATCCTATTATTTATGCAACATAGCTTGTCTCCTTACAATTTAGCTCACCAATACACGGTCACCCAAAAATAAGCCGAATTTTTCGCCAAACCCGAAATTTTTGCCATCTCGAAACCCGTGACCCGAAATGAAAACGCTCCAAACCGATACGCGAAACAGTACTCGAAGATTTTTTGTACCCGCGGCATTCCTAGTCCTAACACAGATAACCTCGACCAATATTTTTTTCTGGATCATTACTTAAGCTCTAGCTAACCTCAAACAGAGCCTGTAAAATAAGAACTTGGTCAGATGTTATCAGGATACGAACCGAAATTGAGAAGATGGCTGGATGATGGAGTTTTGGCATTAATTTCCCGGCTCCACTTTTTTTATCTGCAGGGTAAATTGTTAAAGTTCTATGGATCAAGAAGCCATATAAATTTTTCAGCGACGCAGACAAAAATTTTGAAAAGCTAAGAAGCCAGATTTTTCTGCCTTTGACATCTTTTTTCACTTAGTTATATATAATTTCATCAGGATCCTATAATGATGAATTTGGATGCTTAATGCAACCATGAAAAAATTATGACTATTTAGTAAGCTCCCGGCACCGCCCCGAACCAAAAGTCAACCTCGACCGCAACCCCAACACACTTCCCGGAAGGGTCGAGCTGCTACCCTAAATTAAATTTTATCTAAGAGTTACTCTTCTGGTGCTTCTCTTCTGCCACCTTTGTTGAGTGTCTCTTCGATTTGCATAGTTATGACAGTAATTTCATTATTGTTTTCTTTTATTAGTTCATTTATTCCTTTTAAATTAAATTTTTGTTTACGTTAATTATCTTGATATTAATTCAAAAATTCAATTTAAATATGTATTCTCTACTTTAAAATATTACATTATTTTGTTTAATTGTTTATTTTATTATATAAAAATACTAGTTTCAAGATCATAAAGTTGAATTTCGCTGTTCAGTTTGTTCATAAATTCTTTAAAATAATAAATTACAATAAGTATTATAATTTTAAAAAGTCTTAAAACTATTTTAAATTAAATTAAATAAATAATCTATTTTAAATACATTGATGAAATAAATATTATATAATTAGAATTGATTTTTCAAAATTTAATGTTTTTCATATTAATTGTTCATAATTATTAATTAAATGAAATTACGAATTAAATTATGAATATGTAAGCTAAATAGATAAATTTAATTTTTATCTACAATGAAATTTTAACTCTAATTTAATTAATTCATCTAATGACTAAAGTAACTTGAGAATTTAGAAACAAAGTTTTGATAGTTTAGAATTCTAACTATTTTAGTAGTTATACTATATGTATGTTATACTGAAACATAATTTTATAACCTTGTTTTCGTGAATTGTAATTTGCTAAAAATGACCCAAATTTTTTCTCATTTGGAATAAAAGCATCTAATCTTGAAAATAAGTCAATAGCCCTATTTAGTAATTTTTCATTTTCTGAGCTTGGCCATTCACAATTGTCAACTGTCATCACTTTTATTCTCTGAATATAAAATTTTAACTCTACCGTATATAACTAGTTTATACGGCAGAGTATATGGTAAATAGAGTATTAACCCCTCTAATTGAGGGCCATTTTTAACTACAAACACAAATATTTCTTTATTTACTTTAGTAACAAGTTTAATATTCTTTTTACTTTGATAATCCTGTTATTTTTGAGGCAGTCTAGAGTCAAAAAAGTGCTTAAGAGGGGGTAGGAGGTTTGAGCGGATTAAAAGTGTTATCGAGACATTAAAAAATTTGTGCAGATATCGAGGGATATAATGTGTAGATCAATCGCAGGAGCAAGCGAGATTTGGAAGGATTAAAGGAAATATTAATGGATGTCGAATATCAAGGTATATTGAGGGATATTGAACATCAAGGGATATCTAGTGATCCCACCATTAAATTTTATCAATTAAAATTTATAAATTACCATAAGTGTTAATATTGGACCGTTATATGCTATGCATATTTCTTTTAATTGTTGTTTAACGTATGCTTCGGGAGAGGGTTTAGTAGCAATATTTGCAATCTCCTGAAGATGCATCATTGTAAAAACAACATTCTGTAAGTTAAATATTTAATTAGTATATAATTTTCTATTTTAACTTTAAAAAGGATTTTAACGGTCTGTTAACCTAAACTTAATTTACCGTATTTATACTAATAGTGCGACCGGTCCTTTATTTTTCATCCATCCTCTAGAGGGTCGGTCTATTAGAAAGGGTCGGTCTAATAGAGACAGTTGCTTATATTTCAATCTTCCTCTATGTGGTCGGTTTATTAGTAGGGGTTGGTCGGTCTAATAGAGTCGCACTATAAATACTGTATAACGGTTTGAGTTCAAAGCATGACTTGAAGTGACTTCAATATTTCTTTTATGGCTTCTCTGAAATTTTAAAGAATATATATTGTGTTTTAACAATTTTCTTTTTAAGAAATTTTGAAAACTTGAATTTTAATACTTATAACAATTTGACGTTCGGTGTATAGATATTTCTACGAAATTGTTTGAATATGTAGGTGAAATAAATAGGGATATTTTGGATAAAAATTTTATTTAAGAAGTTTGGTCAATCAAAAACCGAAACTGAAATCTGGGATCGACTACAACCCATAACGGAAATCAGGATGCAGGTTATTAACCGGCAGTGAAAAATTCTACTTTAAACCCTTTTAATATAAACGAACATTTTGGTAGTTAATCATATTCATTCGATGAAAAACTCGGTTCCCAACCGATTGCAATGACTCTGATACCATTTCAAATCCTTTATTCATATCAACGTTAAGCTTTGATATCGCAATATATTCATCGGATTCAGGCTATTTATAAAAAATGGATGTTACAAATTTTACAAAAAAGGCCAAATTCAAAAAATAATTATACTTATTTTATATAGAAGTTAAAATATCCTATAAATTAAATCCTGAAAATGAAATTTAATCTTCAAAATACAAAAGGCTCTTGTCTAAATAGTACATAGTAAATTAGTCCAGGTCAATATTTTAAATAAAAAACACTAATTCCACCTTTAATTTACACTTAAAGAGCACTTTTATAAGATAGTGAATTAAAATTTTTTCAAAAAAATTTTTAACAGAACATCCTATATTTGCAGAATTTGAGTTTGTGAACCCCTAGTAATTACATAAGTTTACTTGGAACACTGTATCGAGTCCAGCAGCAACCAAGGATGAAACGGGACCGGAAAACTTGAGAAACTTTCTAAAATTCTTTCCAACCCGTCCTGTTCTTTTAAGCCAATCTGATGTTGGTTCAGCCATTTGTGCCCAAACTCCCGTATATTTCTCGACTGTCTCAACCCTTAAATATTTATAATATTTTCCATATAATTAAACGAAATATAACGAACAATTGTTGGGAACTTGTTCTCGAGAAGCGTCCGAAGATTCGAAAATAAATAGCCCACAAAATAATATTAATAAATTTTTTGAATTAAATTCCATTTAATACGGTAATCGAATGTTCGATAATTACTTATAATTTCTTTAATTTAATTTAAATATTTTTTATGGAACATAAATTAGAATAAATTATCAGGATACAAAGATTAAATCGTGATTTTGCAGGAATATTATGAATTTTAAAAAATCATAAATTTAAAAACGATCAAAATAGATTAATAAACATATGGCTGTGATAACAAATAAAAATAAAATTATGAAATAAATAGAGTTGCCATTTATTATTTAGCTGTCAATTATTAACAACTGACATTTAATCATTTAAAGGTAAATTATTTTGATCTACTAATAAAAAACACCTAATAATAATAAAAAATATTTATTCACTCAAAGAATAATTTTTATCAATAAATTTTATTTCAATGAAATTAAAAAAATTATTAAATACAGAAAAATATTGAGGGATTTAGTGGAAAAACTAAGAGAAACTTCAGTTAATAGAAACTGACAATTTATAAAATAATAAGGAGATATGCGGGGATTAAGGGGAGTATCATCGGATTAGGTGGGAAAAAGTGAATTAACTGTATTGAAATTAATAGGGGATTTGATAGGGGATTTGACTACGAGTGTTATTGAATCCATCTGACATCTTAATCACTGATATTCTCTTAGAATATCCTGATTTTCACGAATATCTTACCAAATCCACGACATCCTAGATAATTCCTTGCATTTTTTCGAATAACCATTTCCACCAAAACCCAAAATATTTTTGAGTATTTAATGATTTTTTGTATTTCATTGTAAAGTTAGGGTTTTAATTAGGGAGATGGAGGATTGTGCCATTGGGCCTCTGTTTGGATTCTTACTCCCAATTTCGATTCTTACTTTACGGGTTGTGCTCAGGAGAGGGGGAGGAGGTCAAGGCTGGTGGTATCCCATGAGTTGAATAGAAGGATAAAGGGGAAGAAGGATAAAGGGCTCCCGGGACGAGGATAAATACGAGTTGAAGTTGCTGAGATCCCCTTGTGGGTTGAATGAGAAGGAAACAGGAGGGTTTTGTTGTCCGGGAATAATATAAATTTAAGTAGAAGCATTGCCGGGATCCCCAGAGGTGCTACCCACTCCAATTCACCAATCACCTGTAAATGGGAAAAACGTTTTACTAAATTAAAACTTATGGGCTTTGATAATAATTGAGATTTTTGAGATTCCATTCACTCAACAATAATATGTAAATTAATAATTCCATTTGAACAACAAAAGATTTTATAATTTCCATTAAGGTTAAAAATACATTAACATTTAATATTTAAAAAATAAAAGAATAAAAAGGTGCTGGAAGTCCGGCCGGACAGAATAGGAGAAGAATGGAGGAGAAATTATTAAGACACATAAAGCTTAATCGAAAAGCTTTTATTATTATTGTGATTTGAGAGAGCTTTAGTCTGGGCAAGGTCCAAAGAGAGAAGATTGTTAACCGTTAAATGGGAAGATAGGACTGGGAGTGAGAGGCTGGAATTTGATTTTGAGATTAGACTGGGTTTGGTCCGGTTCCGGGAGTGGGGGTTACAGTAATATTGATACAAATTATTCTTTGAGTGAATAAATATTTTTTATTATTATTAGGTGTTTTTTATTAGTATATTAAAATACTTCACTTTTAAATGATTAAATGTCAGCTGTTAATAATTGACAGCTAAATAATAACTGGCAACTCTATTTATTTCATAATTTTATTTTTATTTGTTATACATAATTTGTTTTAATTTATTTCTAAGAAATATTAATTTACAATTTTATATTTTAAATTTTGGGAAAAATTTCATCTCTTGAGTTCTTGAGCAACCTCTTATAAACACAATTTCACATATAAACACGATCTCAAAGAAAAAAAAGAAAGTATTAGAACATCATAATTTAAATTATCAATCTTTTATATTTTGTTGCATTTTACAAATATCTTATTACGTGAATCTCAGAAAAAAATTTGTGAAAAAATTTTCAACGATTTTCAACGATTTTTGTTTCTATTCGTCATCTTCGAATAGAAACAAAAAATTATGTTTGACTATAAAATTTTCACTCGTTTTAGATCGAATAAATTGTATAAATGTCTTCGAATAGAAACAAAAAATTATGTTTGACTATAAAACTTTCACTCGTTTTAGAATGTATTCGGTCAAATTAATCGAATAAATTGTATAAATGTCTTCGAATAGTAACAAAAAATTATGTTTGACTATAAAACTTTCACTCGTTTTAGAATATATTCGGTCAAATTAATCGAATAAATTGTATAAATGTCTTCGAATAGAAACAAAAAATTATGTTTGACTATAAAACTTTCACTCGTTTTAGAATATATTCGGTCAAATTAATCGAATAAATTGTATAAATGTCTTCGAATAGTAACAAAAAATTATGTTTGACTATAAAACTTTCACTCGTTTTAGAATATATTCGGTCAAATTAATCGAATAAATTGTATAAATGTCTTCGAATAGAAACAAAAAATTATGTTTGACCATAAAATTTTCACTCGTTTTAGAATATATTCGGTCAAATTAATCGAATAAATTGTATAAATGTCTTCGAATAGAAACAAAAAATTATGTTTGACCATAAAATTTTCACTCGTTTTAGAATATATTCGGTCAAATTAATCGAATAAATTGTATAAATGTCTTCGAATAGAAACAAAAAATTATGTTCGACCATAAAATTTTCACTCGTTTTAGAATATATTCGGTCAAATTAATCGAATAAATTGTATAAATGTCTTCGAATAGAAACAAAAAATTATGTTTGACCATAAAATTTTCACTCGTTTTAGAATATATTCGGTCAAATTAATCGAATAAATTGTATAAATGTCTTCGAATAGAAACAAAAAATTATGTTTGACCATAAAATTTTCACTCGTTTTAGAATATATTCGGTCAAATTAATCGAATAAATTGTATAAATGTCTTCGAATAGAAACAAAAAATTATGTTTGACCATAAAATTTTCACTCGTTTTAGAATATATTCGGTCAAATTAATCGAATAAATTGTATAAATGTCTTCGAATAGAAACAAAAAATTATGTTTGACCATAAAATTTTCACTCGTTTTAGAATATATTCGGTCAAATTAATCGAATAAATTGTATAAATGTCTTCGAATAGAAACAAAAAATTATGTTTGACCATAAAATTTTCACTCGTTTTAGAATATATTCGGTCAAATTAATCGAATAAATTGTATAAATGTCTTCGAATAGAAACAAAAAATTATGTTTGACCATAAAATTTTCACTCGTTTTAGAATATATTCGGTCAAATTAATCGAATAAATTGTATAAATGTCTTCGAATAGAAACAAAAAATTATGTTCGACCATAAAATTTTCACTCGTTTTAGAATATATTCGGTCAAATTAATCGAATAAATTGTATAAATGTCTTCGAATAGAAACAAAAAATTATGTTTGACCATAAAATTTTCACTCGTTTTAGAATATATTCGGTCAAATTAATCGAATAAATTGTATAAATGTCTTCGAATAGAAACAAAAAATTATGTTTGACCATAAAATTTTCACTCGTTTTAGAATATATTCGGTCAAATTAATCGAATAAATTGTATAAATGTCTTCGAATAGAAACAAAAAATTATGTTTGACCATAAAATTTTCACTCGTTTTAGAATATATTCGGTCAAATTAATCGAATAAATTGTATAAATGTCTTCGAATAGAAACAAAAAATTATGTTCGACCATAAAATTTTCACTCGTTTTAGAATATATTCGGTCAAATTAATCGAATAAATTGTATAAATGTCTTCGAATAGAAACAAAAAATTATGTTTGACCATAAAATTTTCACTCGTTTTAGAATATATTCGGTCAAATTAATCGAATAAATTGTATAAATGTCTTCGAATAGAAACAAAAAATTATGTTTGACCATAAAATTTTCACTCGTTTTAGAATATATTCGGTCAAATTAATCGAATAAATTGTATAAATGTCTTCGAATAGAAACAAAAAATTATGTTTGACCATAAAATTTTCACTCGTTTTAGAATATATTCGGTCAAATTAATCGAATAAATTGTATAAATGTCTTCGAATAGAAACAAAAAATTATGTTTGACCATAAAATTTTCACTCGTTTTAGAATATATTCGGTCAAATTAATCGAATAAATTGTATAAATGTCTTCGAATAGAAACAAAAAATTATGTTCGACCATAAAATTTTCACTCGTTTTAGAATATATTCGGTCAAATTAATCGAATAAATTGTATAAATGTCTTCGAATAGAAACAAAAAATTATGTTTGACCATAAAATTTTCACTCGTTTTAGAATATATTCGGTCAAATTAATCGAATAAATTGTATAAATGTCTTCGAATAGAAACAAAAAATTATGTTTGACCATAAAATTTTCACTCGTTTTAGAATATATTCGGTCAAATTAATCGAATAAATTGTATAAATGTCTTCGAATAGAAACAAAAAATTATGTTTGACCATAAAATTTTCACTCGTTTTAGAATATATTCGGTCAAATTAATCGAATAAATTGTATAAATGTCTTCGAATAGAAACAAAAAATTATGTTTGACCATAAAATTTTCACTCGTTTTAGAATATATTCGGTCAAATTAATCGAATAAATTGTATAAATGTCTTCGAATAGAAACAAAAAATTATGTTCGACCATAAAATTTTCACTCGTTTTAGAATATATTCGGTCAAATTAATCGAATAAATTGTATAAATGTCTTCGAATAGAAACAAAAAATTATGTTTGACCATAAAATTTTCACTCGTTTTAGAATATATTCGGTCAAATTAATCGAATAAATTGTATAAATGTCTTCGAATAGAAACAAAAAATTATGTTTGACCATAAAATTTTCACTCGTTTTAGAATATATTCGGTCAAATTAATCGAATAAATTGTATAAATGTCTTCGAATAGAAACAAAAAATTATGTTTGACCATAAAATTTTCACTCGTTTTAGAATATATTCGGTCAAATTAATCGAATAAATTGTATAAATGTCTTCGAATAGAAACAAAAAATTATGTTTGACCATAAAATTTTCACTCGTTTTAGAATATATTTGGTCAAATTAATCGAATAAATTGTATAAATGTCTTCGAATAGAAACAAAAAATTATGTTTGACCATAAAATTTTCACTCGTTTTAGAATATATTCGGTCAAATTAATCGAATAAATTGTATAAATGTCTTCGAATAGAACAAAAAATTATGTTTGACCATAAAATTTTCACTCGTTTTAGAATATATTCGGTCAAATTAATCGAATAAATTGTATAAATGTCTTCGAATAGAAACAAAAAATTATGTTTGACCATAAAATTTTCACTCGTTTTAGAATATATTCGGTCAAATTAATCGAATAAATTGTATAAATGTCTTCGAATAGAAACAAAAAATTATGTTTGACCATAAAATTTTCACTCGTTTTAGAATATATTCGGTCAAATTAATCGAATAAATTGTATAAATGTCTTCGAATAGAAACAAAAAATTATGTTTGACCATAAAATTTTCACTCGTTTTAGAATATATTCGGTCAAATTAATCGAATAAATTGTATAAATGTCTTCGAATAGAAACAAAAAATTATGTTTGACCATAAAATTTTCACTCGTTTTAGAATATATTCGGTCAAATTAATCGAATAAATTGTATAAATGTCTTCGAATAGAAACAAAAAATTATGTTTGACCATAAAATTTTCACTCGTTTTAGAATATATTCGGTCAAATTAATCGAATAAATTGTATAAATGTCTTCGAATAGAAACAAAAAATTATGTTTGACCATAAAATTTTCACTCGTTTTAGAATATATTCGGTCAAATTAATCGAATAAATTGTATAAATGTCTTCGAATAGAAACAAAAAATTATGTTTGACCATAAAATTTTCACTCGTTTTAGAATATATTCGGTCAAATTAATCGAATAAATTGTATAAATGTCTTCGAATAGAAACAAAAAATTATGTTCGACCATAAAATTTTCACTCGTTTTAGAATATATTCGGTCAAATTAATCGAATAAATTGTATAAATGTCTTCGAATAGAAACAAAAAATTATGTTTGACCATAAAATTTTCACTCGTTTTAGAATATATTCGGTCAAATTAATCGAATAAATTGTATAAATGTCTTCGAATAGAAACAAAAAATTATGTTTGACCATAAAATTTTCACTCGTTTTAGAATATATTCGGTCAAATTAATCGAATAAATTGTATAAATGTCTTCGAATAGAAACAAAAAATTATGTTTGACCATAAAATTTTCACTCGTTTTAGAATATATTCGGTCAAATTAATCGAATAAATTGTATAAATGTCTTCGAATAGAAACAAAAAATTATGTTTGACCATAAAATTTTCACTCGTTTTAGAATATATTCGGTCAAATTAATCGAATAAATTGTATAAATGTCTTCGAATAGAAACAAAAAATTATGTTTGACCATAAAATTTTCACTCGTTTTAGAATATATTCGGTCAAATTAATCGAATAAATTGTATAAATGTCTTCGAATAGAAACAAAAAATTATGTTTG